CTGGTGAAATCAGATCTAGAGGGAATTATGTTCAAATTTGTATACGTCGCAGCATGCAGAGTCCAGCATACAAAAGATCGATCGCTGTGAGCAGAGATTGTTTTAGCTAATCGAGTGATGCATCATGTGTCTAGGGCTATACATATTCAAATACCATGGTCTGATAAACAACCAGAAGCAACAGGGTGGTTTAATACGCTGTGGCATCTGGTTTTGAAAGAGTTTAGCTCCTGTTAATGACTGAGTGCGAAAAGGATTTAATGCCAATGCGACTGCATATGTCGATTACCAGACCCTTAAAAATATACTAATTTAAATTTTGCAGGCTGCATAATTAATTATGGCATGCAGTTATCAGTCAGTGCAGTCGTTAGACTTTTTAGTATTTTGATGCCAGCCTCATTATCAGTCATTAAAAATTGATGCACTCTACCTTTAACACTTGGTCCTCTACTGCTTGCATCGGATTCACTGCTGGTTTTCACATTTCACATATCTAAGTGCTGTTCCTCAACCTGTGGGCGCTTTGATGGCGTTTCACTTTGTTTAAAATATGGCTTAAGTAAAAGCTGGCTTTCACAATGATATGCATTCTTTTGGTGTCGATGATCATATTTATATGAAATTTTCTCGATGTTTATTTCATATCGTTTTGGCATTTTCGTAAATAACAAACAAAATAAATTTTGCATGATTTACGTATAGTTTTGTAAATTTTTTTTCATGTTTCAGGAGGTACAGATAATCATTTATGTTTGTTGGACTTACGGCCTCTTGGAACTGACGGAGCGAGGGTGGAATTCGTGCTGGAACTTATGGGAATCGCCTGCAACAAAAACACTTGCCCTGGCGACAAAAGCGCTATGAAACCAGGAGGTAAATTAATGCTGATAGAGGTTTTATTTCCCTTTTTACAAAAAAAACGAAAATCTCGACAAGTGCCTCAATTCATTCTGGATCAACAGCTTAACAGACTTGAGCGAGATACGGATAAATCGCCTAAACTGTATGACGGGACAGCTAACAGTGATAGCTTCTTTGACGTTCCAACGGTGACCCCTTTGGTGCTAGTCAGCCATGACAGTGATAACTACGATTCCCGGTCAACTCTCTTGATTGATAACTTTCTGTTGTTCTTATTTCCTTATGTGAATTGCGCACTGCAGCATGCACCACTGGAACAAGAAGATATCTCAGGTGCACTTTTTGTGTGATAGTTTTTGCTCTATTGGTAATTGTTTTATCCATCCATATTCACACCTCGCCATTCTTTTCACCAAATGCAACAATAGCTTTGGTTTTTCTGATTGTCCCGCTTCAGTTTTATACTCACCTGTTTGACCGTTTCACTCCGCTTTGGCTATTTATCATGTGTCTTTTCTAAGAGTCACTCCAACTAATCTCCCTTTTCGTATTTTGACTGCGTACATAAAGCTTTGTAATTGCCAATTTGGAGCAGAACCAGCTCACAGTCAAGGGATTCAGCGCATATGCTGTGGATCAAGCCTTATCACAGTAGCATACTATTGTTTCGTTGTTCGCCGCTGTGAGCGGGTTTACCATTTTCGCTCCGCTACGTGACCCAGTTATCAGACGCCTCTGCGATGAGTGGTGTGCGTCTGCAGATTAGAATGTTTAACACAAAGAAATCTGAGCTCCAGCGGATCAGCATCAACAAGGAGAATTTTGCGTCGCCTGATGGGACGGAGACGGCAAGCTGCATGAAGTCATCCGTACAGGTAAGCGGTGCCAACTTGACCTCCTTCATCAAAAACTCACACCCCCAATGACAGCTTAACTGGTCTGAGAACCCGGATTCCAGACACGAGTCAGGAGTGGCAGTATTGCTGTTGCCACAAGCAGTGAAAGCCTTGGTTTCTCTCGAGTACACGAGCTACTGGATGCTTGTTTGCCATCGTGCAACAAAGCACATGAAGGTTAACCTTGTTGTCGTGTATGCCCCGAACAATGGCGACGAAGGAAGGACAAGGTCTATGCGTGTTTACACGAAGTTCTCATTTCTCTTGCACATAATCAATTCTCGATAGTCGCCAGTGAGGTGAACGCGCAGGTCGGCGTGGACAACTTCATTTGGCTGAATGACAACAGTGAGTGGCTATTCGAACTTTGTTGGACGTAAGGTTTCGTCTTCGACAGTATGCAGTTTCCCCACTCGTCACAGCTGACGTAGAGAGCACCAGGTGACCCCTTCAGGAGCCAGCTAGAATACATGCTGGTCAGCAGGAAGTGGCAAAGCGCCCATCTCGACTCTCGGACACGACGCGGAGCTG